TTTTACGCCCCGGAGTCGTGTTGTGTTTGGATGTTGCAGGCCTCGTAAAATTGAGTGTTTAAAACGGTGTGGCAGTGTTATGCTGCTCACGTGTTCTACACAGAAGGCTGGTTAATATTTTGGTGTTGAAGCGCACTGTGTTAGTCACCTCGGCGTTTTTATTTCTTGGCTCTTTTTGGCCGGTAGCCCGCGGCGATGTCTGGGTCATGACCGGCGGGTCAGTGACCCCGTTCTCTGAGCTTCTTCCCTCTGCCGCCGCCCCCGCCGAGCTCGGGTGTGGGCGGCTGGCATCCGTCGAGGCCCGTCGCTCCCGACGCTGGCCACTGTTGCCGTTTGTCGGCCGCAAATAGTCGGCCCATGCGCCGCGTGACGTCACGCGGGCGACGCCGCCGGCAGAATTGGGTTAACGAGTCTGGTGGCTCGCACCGCGTACCGGCCAGTCAGCGCGGCTCGCAGGACCATTTCCGGCCCAACCCTGTGACGGTGTGACCGGGGGCAGGGCCGCGCCGCCCCCGCCCGAGCTGCGGTCTCACTGGCGGAGTGATCGGGGCGCTGAGTAATGACGTTCTACAGGCGCCGGGACGCGGCGACCGATGGTTCCTCTGACGGCTCCGACAGAGACGCATCGACCGGCCCCGAGTATCACGGCGCCGATGAAAGAAGCCGTCAGCCAAATTGCCATCGTGATAAGTTCGTGTTTGATAGCTTGGAGCGGTGGTTTGTTAGGCGACAGCTGAGTGCGGTGTTCGATCGTGAGGCATCGGAGATGGGCGTGTTATAGGACGTTATCTCTTGAATGGTAATGAGTAAGAGCGATTGGGTGGAGACAGACTGACGGAACAGGAATGTAGAGTGGGGAGGTTAGAGCGTAAGACAGGTGCGCGGTAGGTAGAGCGGTGAGAGACGATTGTGTCTGTCTGGACTGTGGCCAGACGGGTCAGTCTGCACTGGTCTGTCGGCTCTGAGTCGTCCGGAACGGGCACCTGACGCCGGCCACAAACACAAACACACAGTGACACTTTATCGGCGACCTGTAAAAGCGGCTGCCTCGTAGCTTTAGACGTAATCTGTGTGTACCCACCGCTTCAGGGGTCGCTGAAAGAAACCGCTGGGTTGTCGTGGTTCTTGGACACCTCCATTGGATTTCAGTGCGGATTTACACTATATGTCCTCTTCTGTAAGATATGTTTAGTGTTTATTTGGGTATGAAGTGTCGCAGGCTAGGTTCGTTGCCAATGCATCTTGGACAGCGTCCTATTTTAATGCGTTATCAAGCAATAGGTAAAATCAACATACTCGAGTCTTTTTTTAGCAAACTACACATTGCGTGCTGGCATGTGTAAGACACCTAATCAGGTGCAAACCTTTGCATGACAACGGCAATAAACGTCCTTAAAATAAGTTGTAACAATCGCGGAAAGCTGTCGTCGGGTCACAGTGTTTCCGCGTGTGAAGTATTGTGCTACTTCGGCAAGCAAGTATGTTCGCCGGCTCTTTGTTACTCAAATCGAACATAATATATCAGTGAAACTACCGTTGCAGGATCATCACTCACACACTCTTTTGGTAAACCATCGAACGGTGAATGCTCAGCTTTGTTTGAGACGGCATTTCTCTCCCCAGTCCGCTCACCTAGCGCCGCGAACCTCTGTATCCGCCGCAGACCTGTTCCGCCGAGCCATGAGACTGGAAAAGGCTGCATGTGACTCAAAACAGGCTCTGTGCAGCCTCGGCGAAGGGCCGGTCGTTGCCCTTGCGACCTATATTCGCTAATCTCGGGACCGGCTGGTCGGCGGAGCCGTCATCCCCCAGTCATGGCAGGCTCGCGGACCCGTCCGACCTGTCCGAAACATATCGTCATCTCGTGGTCATGATAGGAGTGTGGACCCGTCTGACCGGACCGGACGGGACCCTGCTGGGGCGCCGCCGGAGGGAATTTCCGACCTGACCCGACCCGACCCGTCCAGTCCCTTGGAAGACCCGACTCCTTCCCTCCTCTTGGAATTCATTCGTCATATTAGCCTAAGGCTATGTGAACGTGACCCATTGCCCGGTACCGGCTCTTTGTCTCCGGTCATATCAGAATGCCGTGAGCAGGGGCATTACCACCGGTAGCTGAGATCGCTTTAGCATGCATCGTTTGCAATTTCCTGGTACAAAGTCTACGCTGTTGGGAATACGCTGGAGCCGGCGGCTGCTCAGCCAAGACGATGACTGGCGGGTATTTGATTCGCGCGGAAGCCTCCATCGTCCGCCGTGACACAGCCAAACAGGTCTGATGAATGCACCGAGTCCGTACTCGCCGCGCCTTATGGAGTGCTGAGCTTGTCATTGTCGATTGAGCTGATACATTCGACTACAAATGTCGACTTGACGAAATGCCACTTTCTCTCCGCTCGTCCATTCCATGACGAACGCGGGACTTCGGGACGTCAAGACGGCATCCTTCTCCATCATCTCGCTGTCATCTCTCCTGACGTCTCAGCGTGTCACGTCTTTGTCCCCGCAGCGGTGTCACCGTCACTTTTCGCTACCGGTGTCGCTGATGTGATTGTGTGGCCAATGTGAGAGTGTGAGAGCTAGCTCACACTGTCTCCGGTGAGTGGCCTCCTGTGAGTTGTTGTCCCGGAGTGTGAGTGACGCTGCACGTCCCCACCCGGCAGTGGCGTGGCCGCGGCCGTCGGCTGGCATTTCCCGTTTACTGCAGAGGCCGTGTCGTGCACGGGGCTCTGCTGCCGTCACGGCAGGTCTGCAGTGTGGGGTCAGTGACCGCTGCCGGCCGGTCACCGGACGGGGGCTCCACCTGCCGATCAACCTGCAATCGGCACACACACGTGTACGGGCGCGGCGAGCCGTCCACGCGAGCTGATCGATCGCTGACGCAATGCGGCAAAAAACGACGTCCCCTCATAACATGGGTCAGTGTGTATTTTTCTTGAATGTCTCGGGGACTCAGCGCGCGTGGCTTGTGTGCGAAATGAAATCCTGCGAAATTTGAAGATGGCGTGCTGCAAGGATTTAGGCCCGTCTTAGGGTTTAATTTCCTTTGTGCTATCGCGGCTATATGAATGGAAAAGTGTGCTAAATCTGGGGCTCTTCGTGTATTGTTTGGCCCCGGGCAGTCCGTTGACCCCTGTTTTCTGCTCCCCGCTGAGGGGCCGGCCGTCCAGCCTCGCTCCCGGAAGGATTAGCGCCGTGCGGTGCCGGCTGGTCTGCCTTTCCCACCGCAGCTCGGTGGGCTTCTCAGTATACCATGGCAGGCAGTCGGTCGGTTGGGGACGGGATCGCTGAGGAGCTGCACGGAGCCGGCCGAACAGCGGTCGGCCGCGGCGAGGTCACGACCTCCGTGGGAAGGGGCGCCGCTCCTGTGGGAGTTCTCCCTCTCTCCCTCTCTCTGTCGGTATCGGCCGGCGATTGAGCGCCACTGTGGTGCTGGGGACGACTGCCCGGCGCTGCTCTGCCGTCTCCGGACGGCTCCGCTCGGTCTCCGACCCCGCGGCCGACGGATTGCAGTGCCTCGTTTCCGGGAGGGAGACGGCGCGTGTTGCCCCGCGGAGGCAGCTGGCCACTGCTCAACAGTTGGCCGGCTCTGCAGCGGCGTATTATTGGACGGCGGCGCGGGGTCGTCGGCCGCCGACGGCTGTTGTCTCTGACGCCGCCGCTCGGGTCGGGTCGGGTCGGGTCGGCTGATGACAGACGCGAGTCGCCGCGGACCGTCGCCACCCGTCGCGTCGCTCATTAACCCGCGGCGCGATGTCCGGCCCGCCGCTGTTGGGGTAGGACCGCGGCTTCGGCCTTTGTTCCGTGCGACTACAAAGAGTGATTCGCCGCGGTGTGTGGCGCCGCAGCAGTTACGGCCGTAGCGCCGCGGAACCCGTTACTCGCCGTGACCGCCGACCGGCCTGCCATCTAGCGGCGGCGACACGCACTAGCCGCCGCTGCATTGCGCAACGGACTGGGTCACTGGGCGGGCTCCGGGTCCGTGTGACAGACGCTCCGTGACGCTGTGCGTGACGTCACTCCTGGAGGCGGCGGCGGAACGCTCCGTCCGTCACCGTTATGGAGCTGTGCTGCCGCCGCTGGGACCGCTGCGGCCAGCCACAGACTGCCTCTGTGAAGCCTCTGTGAATTCTACGCTTTGAGCTGCGGCCGGCAGCAGCGATCAGAGCCCACCGCTTTATTAACCTCAGAATAACCGAGCACCTACTCCGTGGGCAATAATCCCTCAACGGTGAATCACGGTATATCCCGTGAGCTGCCCTACTAAAACGTAAACCACGCTCTACCCCGTGAGCGTAAGTTCGCAATAATGGGCTACGTTTAGCTCCGTGAAGAACGGTCCGAGTGTTCCGACAAAGGAGCTGCGCTGTAGCGACTGGGTCCCGGTCCCTCCTGCTGGCCGTACAGTGGCCAGGCTGAAATGTAATGAGATGCACTCCCTCCACGGTGCTGGCCAAACCGGGAACCCCTCTCCTCCCCTCCCCTCCCCTCCCCTCCCCTCCCCTCCCCTCCCCTCCCCTCCCCGGCGGCCGGGGATGGCACGGCACGGCGCTGCAACCGGCACCCCGAGACGGAGGAAAATGTATTCAATGAAGCGTGACGCTGACCTACAAAGGCTTTTCTTCGCAATGATTTGCGTATTGGGCATTGTAGTGAGTTGCGTGGAACTGGTTATGTGCGGGAAAAACTGATGGTGGTTTGGTGGGTACTCCGGCACGCTACTCGCACGTTTCCTGCGATAAATGACAACCTAGATGCATCGGTTATCATGGGTTGCCAAAGTCGGATATATTGTGGTGGCTCAATCACTGAAGAGTTTGCTAACTGGCCGGACATTTAAGTTGAACAATGAACATGCTATAGATCGGTGTTCTTTGGTACTCACTTATGAATCACCTAGTTACCACTTACGGATAAATCGTCTGGACGTTGCTGTGCTGGCTATAAATTTGTATGTTACTTATGCTGTGATTTAACGTGGATTTTTTCTCTCTCGGTAGCGGTCAAGTTCGGCCGAATGTCAAAGAAGCAAAGGGAGAAGGTGGAGGATGAGGTGCGCTTCTACCGCGGCAAGATGGTGGCTGGAGAGGGATCCTCCCCGGACTCGTCTGTGTACGCCGACAGCCATCAGCTGCCCTCGTCCTCGCAAGACCAGATCGCCTCGCCCTTCGCCAGCTACCAACCGTAAGCAGCGCTCGCTCCACTTTTGGATGTTTTTGGTTGCCCGTGGATAGCGGATTTGATTCGAAAAAGTTGCGGGGCAATTTATTTTGCGTTTTTTTTATTAAGATTATTTCATCAAAGCTGATCAGCATCATCATCTCCGAGCTCTAGGCTGTTCGCTGTTAGCTTCCTCCATAACACCGTACCTGTGTCTCCGCCCGACCAGGTTCGCCGGCGCCGGAGACCTGTCGGGCCAGTACCAGGCCAGCGGCTACCAGTCGCCGTTCCCGTTCTCCGTCGATGACGGCGTCGACTCGACGACACCGTCGTGGCAGCCGCCGATGGAGGCTCTGCCTGGCACCCAGCAGCTTCCCGGCTCCGACCTGATGACGTCCTTCGGTAACTCAGGTACTGACCGCAGCGCGGCGCTGTAGGCGCTCGATAGGTGTCGCACACATCGCCCGCCCAAGGCGGCGTGCTACGTTACTGGGCTGGGACGAATCGGTCACGCTGTCATATATCGTCTTCTTTCGTGTCTTCTTCTGTCCTTTTCTCAGGGTAGTGCATGTTATGTAAATAAAAGTGTCAATAACCGATATAAAATAACTTCCGATAACGATATGTCGGCCTTGCACTCGGTTTGGGGACGGATGTGGGTTATCCGTCGGCCAGGGTTCTTCCATGTGCCTGTCCTGTCTATGTGAGCCTGCGGGCGGAACCTCCGACTGTCCCCTGATGTGGAGCTCGTGCGCCGTCCGACAGGCCGGGCGCCGGCTCACCAAGAGCAGCAGCAGCAGCACGCGCTGCAGCACCACCAGCAGTCACTCCAGCAGCAGCAGCAGCAGCAGAGCCCCCTGCTGCAGCCCCTGGAGACACCCATCCCCCGCGTCAACCGGATAACAGACACCATGATCAAAGAGGAGATGGAGGGCCTGGGCAGCGGCGGCTGCCTCGGACACCTGCACGACTCCTTCGAGCCGGTGGACAGCAGCGTCGAGCGGCTCTCGGTCGACTGTGCCGACCCGTTCGGCGGCGGCGGCCTCCCCCCGGCAGACCGGCCCCCCGGTAGGTGCAGTATGCCCCTCCCCCTCCCCCTCCGGCCGCACCGGTCAGAGCCCGGCGTCTCTCCGCTCGTCGTGGCGTTCGTCCTCTCCTGCATGGACCGTCCAGTCAGTTGGCTCGGAATTCGTTTGCTTTGTTTGGACATTGTTCCGGTTTTATTTAGATTTTAGGTAACTTGGTGCTGGAATATCGTCTTTGTGTGATCTTTTGGTGCTGGATTTTTGTGTTGTGACTTCATTTGAAGTCCGTGTTCTGTCTAGACGGGTTCGAGGTTCTTCTCTATCTGTCTTTTCTTTCCATGTTGAAGTCCAGACGTTATGTTAGTCACATCACCGATCTCTTTTTTATGTTAATTTTACCCAAATGCGTGTATTTATGTGGTAGCGCCTTAGCCTTGCCCTTCTCTGTGCGCATACGCTCACACAGGCGAGTGCCGTGTCTATAGACCAGCCGTGTGACGCAGCTCTGTCCACAGACCCGTCTCGGCTGCCCGAGCTGCTGGCCAAGTCTGTGACGGACGCGCATCGCAACACACTGCGCTACTCGAGCGACTACATCCAGAAGATGCTCCGCAAGCCGCACGACCTCGAGAAACTGTCCTACTACAGCAAATTGGTGAGTGAGACGGTCGAAACAAATGCCAGTTTAAGTGTGTGGCTGTTTATTGCCTGATGGGTTTGAGCATCCTCATGGCAAATGCCATGTTATTTAAATGTTTCTCAATTTCCACGGACTGCAATGATCTATGAGGACCTCCCCGACCCCGATCTGACCCCCGACCCCTGTTTGGCCTCCGGCAGAGTCACGAGGATCTGGTGATGGACGCTGTACAGAGCGTCACTACCCTGATCCAGCACAACATTATCGAGTTCGCTAAGGCCCTGTTCGAGCTGAAATCACTGCAGGAGCATGACAAGCTGACCCTGCTCAAAGGCGGTGAGTGTCTAATGTCCAAGCTGAAAATCACTGTATCATCTGTATTCTCAATTATTTCTTGTTATTCTGATAACAATGCTTCACCGCTCGCACGGCTATTTGACGTGCATCACTGCATCAATGACTGTATGTATAGCCATGTTCAACGAACACCAGTGACGGGTATTCCTAACACCGTTCTGACCCAGCTCTCTCCGTTCTGACCGAGTTGTTCTCCTTTTCTGTCCTCCCAGGAGCGTTTGAGCTGACGGTGATCCGGATGCTGCGCTACTACGACCTGAGCCAGGACGTGGTACTGTACGGTGACACGCCACTCAAGCAGGACGCCTTCCTGCTCGGCGATACCACCGAGATGAAGCTGGTGCACGACGTGTGGGAGATGGTGCGCAGTCTGGCCGAGCTTCGGCTCTCAGAGACCGAACAGGCCCTGTTCGCCGCCTGCTGCCTGTTCGCGCCAGGTGAGTACCATTGCAGTCAACTGGTGGTCCGAGTTACGGGCACGGCTGCTAGTCGCAGTTATTTCATGCACTCAATCATTACTATCAATCACTACTACAAATCACGAGTCACTGGTCACAGTGGCAGTCGCTTTACACAGCTGTTGGCTCGTTGATTGCCCTCACGTGTCCCCATTCGCAGTTCCCCTCCCCGTACCCCATCTGACCCTCCCCCGCCCCCTTCTCTGCAGACCGGCCGGACCTGATGGACGTCGGCAGCGTGCAGAAGATGTACGAACAGCTACTGCTGGCGCTCCGGCTGAAGCTGGACGAGTCACACCCCCTGCCCGTCAAGGGAGATGTCACCGCCTTCCAGCTGGTCGTCTCCAAGGTTCACTGTCTCAGGTGGGTGACGATGGTGACTGATTTCTCGGAGCTCTGTGAATAGTGCTGTCTCTTGGGTCATTGATGTGTTATTGATGTTTGGTCGAGTTTTATCGTCAACATATCAGAATTTCTTTAAATGCAAGGCTATGTTATGGTGCGTTTAGGTTTCGTTAGTAGCGAGGGCTCTCATTAATGGCCATAATGATAATAAGTAGCTTCATGGTAGAGTTTTAATGAAGCATCGCAAAGCTAACCTGTGGTGGTCTGTCTCTTCCAGGAAAATTTCGGAGACTTATTTGGAGGTGATCGCCAACTTCCGGCGGGCGGCACCACACCTCGAGTTCCCGGCGCTTCACAAAGAACTTTTCCCGACGGGCAGCTGAGTGAAGGTAGTGAGTCGCCGCACAGATCCTCGCGCTGGTGGTGGTGCAGCACGCTGACACGTAAACACGCGCTCCTCTCGCTCTGTCCGGTTCCGCTCTCTCTCCCTCCATAAAACTGCCTTCTTCAGATCCGTCTGCGGGGCGGCGGCGGCTATCTATGGTGCCGTTCCGCCGCACCGGTTTGGCTCCTGCCCACTGTCAGAGCTAGGCTGTCATCAGTGACTGTCAGACACTGTCGCTCTGGCAGTGTCTCTGTCAGCGCTGAGCACTCACAGAGCCGGGGAGAGACGTGGCAGCTGCTGAGCCGAAAACTACCTGCATGATGGCAACCAACTCAGGCTTTCTCATGGTGTTGGAACTAAAATATGGCCGGGCGCTGCATAATCTGCAACAGCAGGAATCCGCTCCCCGGCTGGCACGGCACCGCGCTGGGGCGGTAGGTTAGTTTAGAGCCGGTCCGCTAGGCGGCGCTGGAGGCGCTGTCCGTCCGCCGCCGGAGCGGCTGGAGTTGTTGGTCGCAGGGAGGATAACAGCAGACAAATGCTGAATTAGGAGCTGTGCGCGGGATTTGAGAACGACACTGCGAGGTTAAGACTTTCTAAAGACCTATTTGGAATGCGAACTTAGTTTTCGCGTTCGTGTCCAATGCAGCACTTGCACATGGCGAGTACATTTACAACCAGCCGTTAGTGAGGTGTTTGAGAGCGTGAACTATTTATGCAGTCAGTTGTAAACGGAAAACTGCAAATGACGGCGATGCTTAATAGTGTGTTGTGGTGATTAGAGTTGTGATGTGATCATGAAACTCTGATAACTCGTTATTTCATTGACATTTTATGGGACTAAATTGGTGACTTGAACTACCCAGTCACAAACTTTGTTAATTTGTTTTAACATCTCATTTAAATTTTACATTGTATATGTGATCATGTATTTCGCGAGATGCAGAACTAATGTGTAAATACCGAGGCATGTAAATATTCGTTTTTAACTACCACCAGCGTCCTCACTATCCTCTAACAGCGTTCAAGTGGTGGGTATGCACGTTTACTGCCGAACTCTGTGTTGTTATTTAGTGATGGGTCTATGCGTTCCCAGCTGCGGACTGCGTTGTTTTAGAGCCGGTTGTGGGTCGACTGTCTGATGGACGGCTGGCGGGCGGTGGTCCGGTGTTGTCTCGCCTCTGGCACAGCTGCCCGGTCCTGGGAGTGGGTTCGAAGGGCTGAGAGGCGCCACCCGGGTGTGTGATCCGACCCCGCCCGGTGCCGCTCCCGGCGACAGCTGTGTGACTCGGATTGTGATATGGCCGCGTGACGCGAGCGGCCGGCGGCCCGCGAACGGCCCACCGGTGTCCGGACGGTGATTCGTAGCTATTTACATTTGAAAATAGTACAAAATTCGGCCCGGGTTCCGTGCTTACTCAGTTATCTAGCTGGCGCTCCGTCAGGCAGACGCTATTCTTTAGCTCGTGTGCGTGGGTAGGCGAGTCAGTGGTCAGAAGAGGAGGAGCGGTGTTGAGATAGGCTGACGCTGGTCTGCGAGTGCGTGGGCGTTGTCCGGTCGTATGTGCGCGTTTAAAAGTTGGCTGTTAAGCAGGTAACCGCGCCGATGTTCTGTTGGGGTGTGCGTGTGTGCGTGTGCCTTATTTGGTGGAGTTGCCGGACTGTCGGCTCTTGGCGGAAAAGCTGGCGCGAAACAGTGTCGCGAAATTCTAAATTAGTGGGGCTCGGTGCTCCGTGATCAACGTTGACGATGGAATGAATAGAGAAGCACGGTGCATCTCAAAATGGGATTCAGTTCAAGCACCGTTCTATACTTCAACCTATTCAGTATACTTTTTTGCATTCATGGCTCGGTCGTTCGCTTTTGCAATAGGGCGGATAAAAGCCGCCTGCCGTCCCGAGAACATCTCGGTTAGCATGAGCAGGGTAATCGTCGGAGCGGAGGGCGTACGATCTCTCCCAGGCTGTCCGTTCGTCACCTTTCGTCACTCCTCCGGTCACACCGCGTCACTTTTCCGTCACAGAGCCGGCAGCCGCGGCGCCCCGTGCCGGTTTTTTACGCTTCTGTGCGTCGCTCGCTCGCCCACCGCGTGTTTTGTATATGAGTTGTCGTCGTGCGTCAGTGATGCGTACATGGCCGAATAAACTAGGATTGTACTTTACTAAACCGATTCTTTCCTTGACGGTGATGGTATGAGGGTTGTGGTTTCTTGTCACGCTATCTACTTCAAAATGTTAATCTCTTTTCTCTATCTCTCTGACGCTCGGTTTCTGTAAAGAGACCAGACGTCTAACAGGCGATGAGAAGCTGAATCCCTCAACTGCTCATACTCTCAGACCCTCACAATGCACAGACTCGCCGTGGCTGAGCCAGCCCCAGTGGTGAGACACCAGCTGGTGTTGGTGACAGCGGCTGGTGCCGGGTGATGGTGATGGTGGTAGTGGTGACGGCAGGGGGCGCTCGCCATACGCATGTGAGTATCATACACCTGCTAACTATAACGAAAGTATGGTGATAAACGTTAAACGTTGTATTTGTACGGTAAACGTAATGGAGCGAGTTATATCGCTCTTTATGTTTATTGTAACGACTTGACAGCATATTCGAATGCATTAACACCTGCTAATCGTTTACCCTTTTAAGCTGCCTCGTTACAATTCAAGTTAACGTTCACTGTAGAGCTATTGTGACTCAAACCCTCTAGTTGTTCAATGGTGTGACCCGTGTCTGTCCGTTTCCAGGTGACCGCCGCTGTCGACTGAGCCGGCTCTCCGTCCAGTGTCGCCCTCTCCGCCCGGCCGGCGCCCGGTGACCCAGTGGCGGCCAGCCCGTCCGACCTGGCGCGCGGGCGACGCCAGCTCGGGACTATTTATTGAACTGTGAACTCCGTGTACCTTGACGTGGCCGAGTGCGTGTGTACTGTATATACGACCCTATGTGTCTGAGTTGTTAGCGTACTGGTGTTGGGTCTCTCTGCGGCGCTGGCCAGGGCCCGGTCAGTCGGAGGGCGGCGGGACCGGCGGGGCTGAGCTGTGTCTCGGTGGCCGGGGGCACGCGGGGTGAGTCGGCACACGAGAGGTCTCCGGGGTCTCCGGGTGTATGGTCTGAGGAAGCTTACAGTCGGGAGCGGGGCGGACGCTCCGTGATCTGACGGCAGCCCGTGGTCCCGGCTGGTGGGGCACCCGGTCCCTCCGGCTCCGCCGCCCGTCCATTGTTTGAGTGATAGCGGCAGTTGTCGACTTTGTCTCTAAGCGCTTCTGTATGATAGCATAAGTTATTTTTAGCGAAACTAAAGAATCGGTGCATCTATCATTGTTATTGTTAAAAAGTACAAAGCGCTTAACAAGGTCTCAACGGCGATAAAATTTGGCCCTTTCGGAATGATGATCTTTGATGGAAAGTCACACGAAAAACGTGCATCTCACTTTAATCTTTGGATGATATTTTATTCAGAGTGATGTCTTTGATCGGAACCGGAACCGTTGTCAAGGAGCGGTCCGAAGCGAGGACTCGGGTCATGCTCCGAAGACAGCACTGAGGGGATTATATCGGCGACGAAAGTTACCTGCGAGTCTACATCACAGGTGTGATGTGCTGGGCCGCTTTATCTGAGCGCTTTTTGTCTTGTTCTCGCTACTGTACGGCATCGAATGTTCGTAAAGCTGTATGCATGTATGATTGAGTGCATGTTTGAACCAAACTGGCGTTCGGTGTCAGTCGAAGTGGGCCGAAGCGGTGCGGTCTGCCCGCTCCGCTGTCCTGCTGTATCCAGAGTGTATCTATTGTTCGACTGTGACGGCCTGCTGTTACCCCCAGGGCAGCGCGCTGGGTCACGCTCGCTGATGACGTGTATCTACGAATAGAGCGAATGTTCCGGTACGCTTTCGTGTTCCGGTGTTCAGTGTCTTCGGCCCGTTGACCTGGCTTCTCTGCTGACATGTGTGAGAATGAATATAAATCACAAAACGACGGCTGATTGTGTCTTGTGTTACGTAAAGATTTCGGATATCCTGAGTTTTTGTTGATCTAGAAATGATCGTGGAAGGTGTCCAGAACCCTGAAACCTTTGACGCTTACCAGAGCTGAATTGTCCACAAAGCCAGAATCGAGCCTTCGTCAAGATATGTATATTTTCGTGATATCGGCACGCTCATGAGCAAAGAATACATTTATAAACATTTGTGCGAACACGGGGATATTGTTCACCTGGCTCACCACGTAACTAAATTGACACTGTGTGACGTCACCGATATCATATGACGTCATTTGCGCTCCGGACGTCACTAACACCTGGCTGGAGCGGTTCTCTGATTGTCACAGCACGCACGGCACTTGTACCCTCAATGCACACGGACACACACACGCACACATACATACACACGGCTTGAGCGGCGGGTATTCCGGCGTGCGGCCGGCGCCGCCGCTGTGAGGTCCGGGGAGGGCGGCGGCGCGGCGACCACGCCGGGTCGTCGGAACCACTGCCACTAGATTACAAGAATGTACCCGTAGACAGATAAGGAACATGTCGTTTTGTTTCACTCTCGCCTCCAGTGGCATCCCAAACCAATGCAGTTAACCATAGCGTAAGACTCTTCGTCACATTCATATTTCCCTCGCAGGAGAATGAACTCATTGCTCCTCTTAGCACACACAGTATCCTTCACAATATTAGCTCTCCATTTCGCTCCCTCTCCCTCCAAACCCTCCCTGTTCCCCTCATTCCCCCTCCCTACCCACCCACCCTACCCCCACACAGAAGCGCGCCCCCATAAACTCCCCTGACCCCTCGGTGGAGGGAATTCGGCGGCCCTTGGTCCGCTTGGCACGGTTGAGCAGGTGACCTGTTGGCACAGAGTTTGGCCCTGAATGGCACGGCGCTGCCGCGGTTGGCACACAGAGAGCGCTGGTGGCACGGATAGTTTCCCCGAGCTCGGATCGCCGGCGTATGGCCTGTATCGCCGGCGGCTATATCGCCCGTATCGCCGGCGGCTATATGAGCTGGGCATCCTCGTCACTGGAGCTGCGCTGCACGGGCTGGTACCGCCCGGCGTGTAGAAGGTCTGACTCGTCGTCAGAGACCTCGTACCACGGACGGTCGTCCCGCCGGCGACGCAGCTTCTTCTCAACGCCCTGCGGACACACGAGCAAGGCGTCAGTCAGAGTCCTCTTAACCCGCGACATGCGTTTGTTCCAGCCTCAGATACACATGAAATGGAACATAAAGCGTGGAGTTTAATGACCAACGTTTATGGGAACGAGACTTTTCAAAGAAAAGTCTCGTTGAAAAAAAAAAGATTTCAAAGAAGAAATAAATATGAAAATAAGAAGCTATGTTTCACCGCCTAGCAGACCGCCCCCTCTTCATTGGAACTCACCCGTTTGAGTTTGGGGGCGACCGGTTGGGGCGCGGCCGGCGGCGGCAGGCGTGTCTCCTCCGCCGGCGCCGGGCCCGCCGCCTCCTCCACATCTGCCGTTAGCTTCTGCACCGACTCGGCGCGCAGCTCCTCGATCTTGTCCAGCTGGTTCAGGTGCCGCGTCGACTCCGTCTTGGAGACGTCCGAAGCGTGCGAGGGAGGCGACAGCGCCGACTCGGTCTTGCTAGCCTCACTGGGCGCCGGGCTGTGGCGTCCGGCGGCGCCGCCCTCGGCCGCCGGCAGCAGCTCAGCGCTCAGTGAGCTGGCCCCGCCCGACAGCGCGAACCCCTTGTACGGCGGGAAACTGGAGGCAGACGAGTCGGGTCGGCTGGCTGAGGAGGCCGGTCGGGGCACCTCCTCAGTCAGATGCTCGGCAGCCGTCGCAGGCGCCCGCCGCGGAAGGGTGCTCGGTTTGGCGGCTATCTTCGGCTTTGGCGGCGGCGCCGGCTTGTCTGCGGCGGACTCCGCGGCGGGCAGCGCGCTGGGTGGTGCCGTGCGCTTCTCTACCACGACGGCAGCCGCCGAGGGCTTGGCGGCCGGCTCTTTTAGCGCAGTCTCCGCCTCGGCCGAGTCACTCTCACGCTTTGAGGCGACCGAGGCCCGCTTGGAGCGGTGCTCGGCGTCGGAAGCCTCGGAGAGGGATCCGACTTCACCGAGCGAGGTGCGCTTCTTCTCCTCGAGTGACGAGGCCTCCGAGGCACTCAGGTCCTGCGAGGAGACGGACAGGTCGCGGCCCTCCTGCTGGTACATTTCGCGGAACTCGTCGCCGCTGATCTCCCCGCCGCCCGGCCGCCACGCGCGCTCCTTCTTTCGGCTGTTCCAGCGGGTTCGCATGGCGAATTTCTGCAGAAAGCCACGCCGTTTGCCGGCGCCGGCGTCGGGCAGCGCTCCGGCGCGGCCGTCCAGCTCAAAGAGCGGCCGCTCCAGCTCGTCTGCAGTCTCGTCGGCAGGGTGGTCGGAGACCGGTTCAGTGCGCGGCGCAGGGGATATCGCCGGTTCTTCAGGCCGCTCGAGCGTGTGCCGCGTGCCCTGTAGGATGTCCGGCTCGGAGAGCACCAGACTGGCCAGACTGGCACCTCCATCCGACCGCCAGCCGGAGCCAGACTCGGCGCCGCGCGCCCGCCGCACCGCTACCTCACCGACGCCGCCGGTCGAGCCCGGCTGCCCCGCGGATACCCCCGACACACCGGACACCACCGAACCGGCCCGGGCGGCCTCACTCGCCGCCGGCCTCGAGCGGTGCGGTTTGCTCGTCCTTAGTCCTAAAAAATCACTGTCATCTTCGGTGGTGGTGTTGCGGCGCATTCGCACTTGATCGAGCTGTTTGGCTGCCTCAGAGGCGGCCGGTTCCTGGCGGCGGTCGCGCGAGCGGGACGAGTCACGGGAGCGGACCTGTCTGGCGCGCCGCTGCGCCTCGATCTCACGCTGCACGAGGTCCACAGTGCTGCCCGCCTCACTGCCGGCCGGCTCAATCACCTCGAGCACGGACGCGGAGCCCGAGTCGGAGACGAGAGCCAGGCCGCGCAGCTGGCGCCGGAGCTCGTCCTGCGCGGCGGCTCGGTCCGGCGTGCCGCCCTCGCCGTCACCCCCACTGCCCCCGCCGCCACCACCGCGCGGCCGGGCCGAAAACGTCGAGTTGTGCACCTCGTCGGTGCCACTGAGCACACTGTCGCTGAAGTCCAGACTTTTGCTGAGGTCTAGGTTGCGCGCGAGGCCGGGTGCGTTCGACTGCGCCCCGCCGCCTCCACTGCCCCCTCCTCCAGTCACGCTAACACTAAGTCGCTCCATTTTCTCTACACTCTTCCCGCGCCGCTCGCGGGCCGGCCGGGGGACGCGCGCTGGCCTCCTCCGGCCACCAGACGCACCACGCCCATAAATGTCACTGTTGTCATGCTCGCTGAGGAAGCCGGCCTCGAGTGCGTCGCGGCTGGCGCGTCTCCTGCCGTTGGTGCGCGCCGGACTGGCGCCGGGCGCACACAGGTCGCTGCCGTCGAGCGACTTGGCGGCGCCGTAGATGTCGCTGGCGGCGGGCCGCACCACGGAGCGCGGAGAGATCTGCTGGTAGAGCTCCGAGTCGACCAGCGAGTTCTCCGACGAGGAGAGCGCCGCCGGGTCCAGGTAGCGCGTCTGGGCAGACTGCGCGCGCAGGTCGCCGATCTTGTTCCTGCGAACACGCCGGTCAACGGTCAGAGATGGCATTGGGAGATTGATAGGTAATGGCAGATCAAGCACCGGTCTTCTCACTATATCCATGGCAGGGACAAGTCACAAGACAATATTGATTCTAGTGAGGACTCAAGGAGATTTTATGAATCAAAAAAATAAACGTGATCATTGCTTTGAACCGTGGCCGTATGATGTTGAAAATAGTGCCGTATTATTGTTTTCATAGACGCATTTTTATACCGCAATGACGTCTTTTGGAACTCGGTAAAGGTTGAAACCATCAGCTGAGAAGGATGCGCTGTGGTCGCAGTTTCCCAGTAGGATTTGGGCAGTAACTTTCGCTGCGAGGCCACCGCAGACTTGTTCTCGGTCTGTGTCGCACACCGCCGGGGGGGGGGGGGGGATTACGGAAACCGCGCGGCCAAACACGACTAGCATTGAGCAGCCGCGATGCAGACAGTGCCCATGTTGCGACATCCAGCAACATGCACCAGACATGCCAGGCCGGTGTCAGTCGGACCAGGGATATGTCGACATGTAGCTGCCGACATAGCTAAACTGTTAATGTTCATCCCCTCTGCTGCTGTCGCCTGTCAGATTCTTTTCGGTTTTTGGAACATGCGAGGTCGCGATCAGCACTGAGGAAATTTGATTTGTTTATTCTCGTGGTTGTGTTCTTTACATCCGGAGATGCAAGCTATAAAACGGAACAGAACTTTTAATATGTTAAAACCATAAAGTCAAGCTAGATGTAGCCGATCTTTATCAGTGATTGGTATTTTTGCTTACCAAAAGCGACTGTATCGTGCCACTAGTGGTTGGGTAGGAACTAGGAGTGATAAAGCCATACAGTGTGAGGCAGTGGCGGATCCAGGGGGGTCAAAATGGGCATTTGCCCCCCCCCCCCCCAAACGGCATAATTTTAACATTACGCCTATGGACGATACATGGAAAGAATCGATAAATTGTTATGGTTTGCCCCCAAAAAACTCTGAGCTGGATCCGCCCCTGGTGTGAGGTGGATAAAGCCATACAGCCTGACATGCCGTCTGCGCTCACCTGACGATCTCCTGGGCGCTGGTCATGCTGCTGACGTTATCCTTGCGCGAGGCGCGCAGCCGCTTCCAGGCCTGTTCGGCCATCAGCAGCCGGTGCTGTGTGTCGGCCAGCGGCGCCGAGAACCAGGCGCGCTGGCAGTGCTGCCAGCGCACGTGCAGCGTGTTAGCCAGCTCGGCGGACTCGTCCAGCTGGTCGGCCGGCTCGTCGGCCGGCTCCTGCAGCCGGCGGCGCAGCTGCCGGTTCTCGGCCGACAGCTGCTGCAGCTGGCCCAGCAGCCGGTCGTGCAGCTCCAGGGTGCTCTCGTGCAGCCGGCTCAGGTCCTTACACATGTCCTCCCGCTCCCGCAGCAGCTTCCGCGACACGGACAGCACCTCCCTGTGGGGGGGGGGGGGGGTGGCGAGGTCAAGGTCAGACGGTACCTTCCTTTGGGGCGAGGTCAGGGTCAGGGTCTACCCGTGAAGGAAGGGTCACCTGCCTCGGGAACGGGGGCAGGGTCACACACAAACAGCATCTGTCTCTCTGACCCTATCGAGGACAGCGCTTATATTTTATATAGTCTTACATCATTAACAAGTTTCGTACCGACATTCTGTGCCGGTTTCCTCATGTTAAAAATCACTTCTGTATCGATGGCCACCGGTAACCGACCTGAAGTTATTCTTGTAGTCGGCGTTCTCGTGTTGCAGCCGGCCGGCCTCTGCCTCCAGGCTAGTGAAGTCAACCGCCAGGTCACCGAGGGCCTCGTATGTCAGCAGATACTCTGCACATGCGCTGTGACCGTGGTGTACCGCCAACTCGAACGGCTTCAAGCTCATGTCGTTCTGACGGAAGGGAGATGCAAGTCAGTCGAGGAAGCGTTTATTGTTGATAATATAACAACGTTTTTATGTGCTAATGAACACACAGCTGCGTCACATTCGCGATTAACAGCAACACGTTTCTTACACAGCTACGATCTCAACAGAAACACATTGTTTGCTCTTTATGTGGGCGAGAATTTATCATCTTACTCCCACCTCTCCTCCAACTATCTGGCTCGCCGGCGCCGTCCGCTCACCCTGGCTGTGACGCTGGCGTTCCGCTCGAGCAGTTTCTGCGCCACGGCCGTGTTGCCCGTCTTGGCTGCCAGATGGAGGGGCGTGTCGCCGTGGTGGTCGGCCAGGTCCATGCCCTGTCCCTCGCGCAGCAGCTGGTCCGCGCACCAGGACGTGATCTCCACCTGAGGAAGAGCGGGGAGACGTCAGATCGGTACTAGTGTATTGCGGGACAGTATCGGATCAGAGGCGTGTATTGCGGGACAGTATCGGTTCAGGGGCGTGTATTGCGGGACAGTATCGTTCTACAGGCATGTAGTACAGGGCAGTACCCATCCTTCTAGGGACGCGTATTGCGGGACAGCATCGGTCCAGAGGCGTGTATTGCGGGACAGTATCATTTCAAGAGCGTGTATTGCGGGACAGTTTCAATCCAGGGGCGTGTATTGCAATTTGCAGAACAGCGTAATTTCATTGGCGTGTATTGCAGGACAGAATCGTTTTAGTATATGTACTGCGGAACAGTATAGGTTGAGGGGTGAGTATTGCGGAGCAGTGTAGCTTCAGGGACGTGTACCTATTGGGGAACAGTATCGTTCCAGAGTGTATTGCGGGAGGGCATCATTTCATGGGCGTGTGTTGCGGGACAGTTTCGATTCAGTGACGTGTATTGAGGCACAGTATCCTTGTTTATTGCGTTTCAGTGGCGTGTATAAACGGGGCAGTTTTAACTCAGGAGCGTGTATCGCGGGACAGTATTGTTTTAGCATGTGTATTGCGGGACAGTATCATTTCGGGGGCGTGTATTGCGGGGCAGTTTCAACTCAGGCGCGTGTATTGCAGGTCAGTATCGCTTTAGGTCATGTGTTATTCTGTATTTTATCAAAAGGCAGCCACTGAATTGAACTGACAATTGCGCATCTTTCGTTGTCATGCATCACCATCTAACCGCCTAACCGGTTAGATACCGGGTCCGCTGGTATGCAGGGGAGCGCCTTAGTTTGGTCTGCCCTTCCGGTGCGCTCTAGCTACTACTGATCATTTCGACGGCGCTCAGAGATGGTACAGCTCCAGTCGAAATAATCAGTAGCATATCTATGCAGCGATTCACATGGCAGTCACGTCTGGTCGGCCCTAGTGCGGCCAGTCGGCGGGGAGCCGCCGAGCTCAAGGCTGTCAGTCGTCACAGGAAGGCACCGTCTTCCGGTGGGTGCAGCTTCCTTGCTGACAGTCGGCGGGCTGGCGGCCGTCGGCCTCTGCCGGCGCGGCGCGGCGAGGCACCGTGTCCGCGCCAGGGCGGGCCGCACCGCCACCGCCCACCGGCTGCCGACATATGGAGCGGTGCGGCCGGCGGCCGGGCCGGCCCCGGGCTGAGGTCCGGGGCCGGCCGGCCGTCCCACCGGCCGCGCGCTCCTCGAGAGACAGCTGGACAGCTCGACGGAGACGGAGCGGGCCGATAACATCGCCGTCGGGCCGCGCGGCGCCGCCGCCACCGCCGGAGATGGCACGATGCGGCCGGACAGCGCGGCTCAGTTTCTACGAGAGCTCCCGGTGCCAGGGAGCCGCTGTAAGCAAGGGTCGCCAGTCTCGCCGAGATGCCAAAATCTGGAGTGGCACCGCGGCCTGTGACCCTAATAACCGTGAGGTCAGTCATAGAAGTCGTCCGCCTCAGCACGGCGCGGCGGTCAGGCGTGGCTGCAGCCGGTCGGTGCTCGGACTGCCGGCCAGATGACCTTCACTGATTTACAGTGGTACGGGGATTCTCTCAACTTGCAGCAAGTTCTGCTGGCAAATTACAGCCGCCGCCGCTGGTGGATTATTGCTGCCGCGAGGCGAAGGCAGAGGTACGACTCCGCGCCGCCCTAGATCAGGCTGCGCGCCGCTTCCACGACAGTGGAGACATAAACTATGTGGATTCTGCGTGCGCCGCTGGACATCGGCACTTCCTCTTGACCCGCGGGCCGTTCGCAGTCGGCCCGAACAGCGGCCGGCGCCAGAGGTCGGCCCAGGACTTTACTGCCTGCACATATCTCCAGCGCTCCGCTGGAAGCGGGATGAGCTGATTATATAACGATCAGTCCTCGGGAAGCTTTACCAGACGTTGTGTGTATAGATACGGGCTGGTTGACCCTGTGAGCCCCGCGTGACGTGGCTGCTGATGTTACAGCGGCTGTAAACGCCAGCCTCGTACGCGGCTGTCGCATTAGCCATGCTGATCCCGCCGCCGGCATTGACGTGTAACTCTGTGGCCGGTCGCCGGGCAGGACCGGCCGTGGGCCGGCGCCGGCGTCGGGCCGTTCCCTGAACCACTCAATCTTGGCCGGCGCGTCGGCTCCCTCCCACTGAGACCCACGGGCCCGCTGCAGCCCGGCCGGGACGCGCCGGAGAGCCCCTCTCTCAGGGGTCGTGGGAGAGACGCCCGGTCCGGCAGGAATTCCACTCCCGGCGGCAGGCTGGCGGCGGAGCTGCTCTCTGGGATCCGGCAGCTCGCCGCAGCGCTGCAGCTCCGTCTCTCCTTCATTTAGCTCCAGTTTGGACTGCTGTCTGTTTGGACTCCGGAGTTGTGGTGCCTGGGTCGGCGGAGCCCCGTCCGGCGGTGACTGGCGGCGGCGTCCCGGCTGTGCGTGGCCGCTGACCTGGCGCTGGGCGCCGAGCGGCGCTCTCCGGCCGCCACCGGCACCTCTCCGCCGGCCGCTCAGCTGGCTCTGATTGAACAACAGTGACAACGCGGAATGTTCTCATTTGATATACAAAATCTTTAATAGAACGTGCAATAAGGGCGAACATACCACGATGAAATGCGGCCGATCGTCCTTACGGGCACCTTGGCTAAATGAGGGTCGCACCCCGTACATGCAAGATAAAAGGCTGCCAGTATGACTGGTCAGAAGGGGGCCCGCCGGCTCAGTCGCTGCCGGCGGCCCAATCCTGCAGCATGACTTGCCGACCGGCCGGCGCGCCGGCACCGCGGTCGGCCTGCCGACCCGCCTGCCCGGCCGGCCGCCCGGCACCGCTACAACGCACCCGGTCCGCCGCGCCGCGGACGGTCGACGCTCCCGGAGGGGCGCCCGTAAGTGCAGCTTCGAAGGGTGCACATTTTTGACGGTCCAACTTTCGCACCGGACCGATATGGTTTGCTCGCGATGTATGCGATAGCCCGTTCTGTAAAATGTGAGCCCAACAACTCGAGGAATGGTCCCCTGATTCCACGTTCACCCGACAGAAAACTTTCCGTGTGTCATGTCTGTGCAGCCAGTGATGCGTATTTTGATGGCGGATACTGTGACACGACAATGAGCGTGCCTGAACGCGGCGGCGGCCGCTGTCCGTCGGAAAACAAAAAGGCGGCATACCTCGGACCAAAACGGCGACGGCGGCGGCGGCGGCCGTTCGGACCCGCCCGTGCTCCACCGGTCCGCAGTCGCGCTCTTGACCTGCTTCGACAAGCCAGCAATGCGCCGCCTAATTGCCGCTGCCGCGTCTAAAATGCGCCGTTACCGCCGCGGCCACGCCAAAAATGCGCCGTTACAGCGCCGCATTCCAATCTCGTCCAGTGGCGGCAGTGAGAGCGGAGCGCTCCGCTCCGCGAGGCCGCCGCGTTCGGCATTCTCTGATAGCACCGCCTCGCTCTCCCCAAATCCTTACTTCACATCGCGAAGCGCAAAAGAAGTCCTTAATCCGGCTCGGCGTGGCTCTGTCCTCGACGCGGCCGTCGCGGCGCGTCCGCCACCGCCGATGGACGGCCGGCGGCGCCGTGACGGCGACGGGAACCGAGTCGAATTCGGCCCCGGCCGCATACATAATGCGCCGTACCGCATTTATAACGGGTGTTCACACAGCGGCCCGGCCGCCGGAGCCGCCGGCAGCCAGAGGCTCCTCCACATAGTGGACGGAGCCGCCATGGAGGCCAGAGAATAGAGGCTCCGACAGAATGAGTCGGAAGGTGGAGGCTCTAATAAACGGAGCCGGCATGGATGCCAAAGATTCTAGTAGGGCATGGACACTGGATAGTCATAGTTTCTTGTTGACGGAGCCGCAGGAGAAGTTGTTGGATGCCTATGAAAATTACCTAAATATACGGACAACGAGGAGAAAGCGCACATTTACGAAAGAATGCGAACTGACGGAAGTAAAATGTGATAGAAAGATGGTGGAAGAAATAAGCTTGGCCTTGGACGAAGCAATGTGTATGGAGCGCTAATGAGGTGGTTGAACAGCGGGAGGTAGCAGATTGTTGACAAATGACGCCGTTGGAGGGCGAATTACGCAGCGCAGTGGATGGCGCCCTCCTAGTTCAACCACCTGGTCCATTTAGGGGCCACCGACGTGGGAAGTGACGCAGGGAGAAAGGCGGCCGGCACGCAGGTCGTCGCATCTCTCGTGGCTCGTGCCCACACGACAGGGCAGAGGTCAGTCGGACAGGCCACGGCGACACTCCGAACAGAGCCGCACGAGCCGCAGCAGGCGCCTCTCTCCCCGTCTGGCCGACCGCAGGCGTGGGTTTCCTTCCCAGATGCATCTCATCTCAATTCGTCGCCGGCCATGTCGCTCGGTGATCGTGAGCTTAGCGCTGGCACGCTAGAAATGCCGGCAGTTTTAGAGCTTCGAAACGAGCGTTGAGCGTGTCCGAACGACCTGAGCTCGGCACGGCTGGCGCTCTCCACACAGCCGCCGCCGCATGTCCGGGGTCAGAAGTCAAAGAGCAATAGGTCACCCCGGCACCGACGACGCTTGGTCAACACCTGCGCTCATGGGAAAGGTCAGTTCTGGCCGGGGCACGGTACTGGCCGGGCGGTATATACAGATGCGGCTCGGGTCAGGACGAGACCGGCGCGGGAGGAGACACGCTGTATGCATACTGAGTCTGTATTAGAGAGGTCTGGACTGGGTCACCGCGGTCTCTGGTGATCGGTGTCACTGCCGCGGTGCTCGGGTGACACTCAGCTCCGAGTGGCCCACTTACCTGGCCGTATTTGGCGGCGGCGTGCAGCAGGGAGCGCTCGCCCTCTCTGGTGAACAGGCGCTCACGGATCACCGTGTTCTCCACCATCCACTGGATCACGTCTAGCTTACCGCACTGGAAACACGGCGCGGCGGTCAGACACGGAACACAGTGGTCAGACACGGCGCGGTGGACAGACACAGAATACAGAGCACGGACACAGACACAGCGGTCAGACACGGAACGCAGTGGTGAGACACAGAACACAGTGGTCAGACACGGTGCGGCGGTCAGACACAGAACACAGTGGTCAGACACGGAACACAGCGGTCAGACACAGAACACAGTGGTCAGACACGGCGCGGCGGTCAGACACGGAACACAGTGGTCAGACACGGAACACAGTGGTCAGACACAGAACACAGTGGTCAGACACGGAACACAGCGGTCAGACACGGAACACAGTGCAGTGGCTAGACACGGAACACATGGGTCAGACAGGCACGGACACGGAGCACGGACACTGAGTGGTCAGACACGGTCACACACGGCACAGACACAGCGGTCAACTGTGCGTCACGCAATGTAGCGGTCAGCAAACAAAGACACAGCGAGGAGGTCCGGCAGCAGCTAACTAACAGCGGTTCCTCACATCGCACGACAGGTGCGGCACCGAACGAAACGACGCCGACTGCGGCGCGTGTCGCAACTTATCGAAGCCGCATTGAAACCTAATCGGGCCCGCCAACCTGCCGGTGCGGGCCTCTCAATCAGGACTGACAGAAGAATTAAGTGCCGGCAACGAGCCGCTGCTTTCCATACACAGTGGGTGTTTCGAGGGAGACGCAATGCTCCCTTCAACCCGCGGGAGCAGGTGTGCTAGCCCGACCGCAGGTCTGGCAGCGCCACCTCAAGTCTGGCAGCATGACCCAAAATATGATAGCAGGACCTCAAAGGTGACCTCAGCCCTGGCAGCGCGACCCGAGATCTGGCAGCATGACCTCATATCTGGCAGCGTGACCTCAGATCTGACGGCTCCGTGCCGGTTAATGAGCGGTGGATGCCGGGCAGCGCCGGTCACCAGCCAGCTTAGCATAGTTCCATCATTACCCTGGAGATGGTCGGATAGAGCGTGCTCCGAATTCCATTCCGGCGGCGCGGCGGGTCGGGTCCGGACGGCTGAGGGCCGCAAGTCAGCACTGTTGGGCCAGGTCTGCTGTCCGATCCAACGAAAACGGACCGGCCGACGGACCAATCGACGACCGTTCGACAAGCTTACCGACAAACCGACAAACTGACAAACTGACAAACTGACGAACAGACGGACGGACGGACGGATGGACGGACGGACGGACGGACGGACGGGGCAAACGGGGCAGACAGACAAGACGGACGGGCGGACGGATAGACGGACGGATGGACGGATAGACGGACGGACGGACGGACGGACGGACGGACGGACGGACGGACGGACGGACGGATGGACGGACGGATAGACGGACAGATAGACGGACAGATGAACGAGACAGACAGAGGGACAGACAAACGGGCAGACGGACGGTCGGGTGAACGGGAATTCTGTCGGAACGTTGGAACGTCAAAAGACCTTCCGAGAGACTAAACAACCGACACGTTGACCGTCTGAATTATACCTACAGAGCCACTACATTCAAGGAATAAGTGGTTGCTCTGCTGAACAAAATTCTGAATTAGACATTCTTAAAATGCTTGCATACTGACCTACTTAGATCTTACCAAACAGTTCCAAACGCGCTTGCCGTTACCACCGACACGCTAGATATTTTAGCACTGTCACGTATTACCATCATTAATAAGCATCTTTGTCATCCACTGCATGTCACAAGTCTTAGATGTAAAAAAATGAAATTGATCAGACAAAAAAGCCTTCTAATTATGGTTTGGAGGGAGCCACGATGGCTCAGCAACTGCACACACTATTGATAATCATCCGAAGCTCCAAACGATGGTTTTCCTCGCACCGTGCCATCCTATCCCAACATTATGGCCCTTCACCGCTGGCACCGGCACGACCACGCCGAAATAGCGTCCCTACCCAGGCAACGCGATTTATGGCCAATAAATAAATCATTAAAAACACTACTGCTCAAAGAACTTCATTCATACATTACCAGACCCAGTGAGTTGGCGGATTATTAGGAATTATGGTGCCGTCAAACGCAATTACAACGGTGTCTCGTGTGGCAAAATGGCTAACACCTGTTCAACATAGTCGTACTTTTGAATATATCCATTAACGTTACATAAGGCATTCCTTTGGTAGGGTAGAGTTACCAACAGGAAGTTGCCTCGCCTCACTGTCATAGTAATCTTGCACTGTCATGGCCCAACAGTGCGTGAACGACAGACGCTAATAAAAAAAAAAAATCGCAACAAGATTTCGTCTTTCATATTTTGTGTTTTGTTTATCACATTATAACATATTTTGTTTACATAGAGAATGCATTTGTATCATAGCATCTCATCTAACAAGGAAAGTACACAGGTTGTTCAATGAGTTGCATGAGCAGACATAAAACTGGTAAATAAAATAAAAGTGAGGTAATACTAGAAACCCGAAAACCGTTAGAGGACGCAGCTATAGGTACTCGTAGATTCTGGGTCGCCAGCATCGCACTACATAAATACGAGCACAAAGCGGTACCAGAATAGCACCAAATAGATCTAGCACCTGTCCTGCAGAACACAGTTTAGTACAACTGTACAAGGTGTACTCACCCGAACGGCGGCCACGCTGGGTGTCAGCCCGTGCTTGTTCTCGTCGGCCAGCGCCTCACTAAGCACGTGGCCGCACGTGCCGACCAGCCAGGCCAGCGCCTGCACGTGGCCGCAGGCGGCCAGCACGTGCGCCAGGTTGTTGCCGTGGTGGTCGGACAGATTCCTGATGAGCGTCGGCTCCATGTCCGAGAGGGACGAGCGCTACCGCGGAGGGAGGCGGGGGTCAGCGGGGTAGGGGAGCGAACATCGTCGCAATGTAGATACAGTGCGCTATACACATCGCATATCTTGCAGACACACATTTCAGGCCATGACCTACACAAAAGCCTATGGCCTATCTATAAATTGTATGCATGTGAGACGGAATCCTAAATGTAGTGTTACTGTTGGACTCTGAGACAGCCAGACAGGCATACCAACACATAGCGTCGCACACAGACACACAAACACAAGCTCAGGCAGCGGACGCGCAGTTGCCGGCAGCTCTGGTTAGAACTGCAAAGCGGATTTTTGGCGGCCATCATCCGCACTTTTAGCGGAACGAAACAGATCGGGCCGACGCCAGAAGCGGCTCACTGCGGCGCTAATCCGGGCTCCTACCAGAGCTGAGGCCTGACGCTGCTCGCCGAGGTAGGCGCCGCTGCTCGCCCGCTGCACCTGCGCCTCCACACACACACGGACCGACAGCCGAGTCGGGAGAGGAGAGAATGGCTTACTGCTGCTATATGGTTACATGGCCTTTGGCGGCGTACCTACGTTGACTTCGTGTTGTGTTATGAGTGAAGATGGTTCAGTGTTCGCGAAAACATAACTTTGCATGAAACCGACTTTGAGGTTAGTTCGAAAACGCAACATGGACTCATTCAAAATAGGAGCTGATAACGAGATGACGAGAAAAATAAAACGTCTGCTTCATTTATATAAAAAAGAACGAATTAGAAGCGTCGCGCAAAATTAGTGTCGGTCCTCACTCTCGTCTGGATCTCGCCTGCAGCTCTGGGACCCCGTCCTCCTCCTCCTGGTCGGTCCCCAGAAAGCTCATCAGTTTGGATTGTTTCTACTCACCAGTTCGCTGATGTCACCTCCTCGTGCCACGTCAAAGATGGTTCTGATCCAGTCTGGCGTGCGCCGCAGCTCGGGCGGTCGCCGGCCTCCTTTGATGCGTCCATATAGGTCATCCAGGAGGTCGTCCCGCTGCCGCCCTCCGCTGCCGCCGCCGCCGCCGCCCCCGCCGGCTGGCGGAGTCGGCAGCTTGCCGCGCACGGCAGCGTTGTTGGCCGACTCGGCACGGATGTTGAGGACCGATAGGTCGGGCCTCCGGCTGGGGATCGGCGGCGGCGGGCTGCGGGCCGCCTCAGCCAACAGCCGAGCGATGATCGCCTCTCGATCCAGCGTGGGCGCCGGCGGCGGTCCGTCGCCCTCCGAGCGGCCTCCGCCGCCGCCGCCACCCGACGTCCGCTTGGTGGGCGGCTTGGCGCTCTGTTTGGCGGCGGGCGACTGCTTGGGGGCCTGCTTGGGCGGCTGTTTGGCGGGCGGCGGCCGCTCGGGCGCCTGCGCCAGGCGGCGCGCCTCCGGAGTACGTGCCATCTGGCTGAGCGTGTCGATGATGTTGACCGCGCGCACCTGCGTGGAGGCTCGCCCGGAGCGGGCCGGGAAGTCGTACAGCTTCTCCAGCGCGGCCAGCTCCTTGTCGTCCAGTTTGTACTCTTCCATCACGTAGTCGGCCTGCGACGAGCCGGTCGACTGCGGAGGACGGAGAAACGGGACGCTCGGTCAGAAACTGCTGGGAACGGGGACACGGTGAGCAGCGGAACGGCACAGCCGCTGCTGGGAAAACACAACAGAGGCAGATGACGGCGCACAGACGTGCAGAAACGCGCCGGCCGCGCACGGGTGGCGTCAAACACTCCCATCGCAACGTGGCATGACAGCACGCGCCAACGTGCCGGCCGGACACGGAGCCGCAGGTGGTCGGCTCATTTTTATCTGTCGGCGGTCCTCGGCTCGCCGATCGGCAGAGCGCCGTCAGCGGCGACAGGCCGACCACAGAGCGCGCGCCGAGAAGACACCACCTGCTGGCGACACTGATCCGGCGGCGGCGCCGCTGAAAAATGTCGCCGCCGGTAATGATTTCACCCGACGGTCCCGGCGAGAAATCGCCGATCCCCTGATGGATGCTACCGATGCGGGAAACAATAGAAATGCGCAGCGTCGGCGCCGCTCGCCGCATACGGCGTCGGCGGCTTTCACGGGCCGCATGCTGGGCCAACGCGCTCTGCGGGCGGTCCGACGTGGCGCCGGAACTGTCACGAGCCGAAGCAGGTCGAGATGGACCATCACGGACAGACACGGAAAGTCACGGACCGAGACGGAGCATCACGAAAACATGAAACGCCACAGATCGACCCAGACCGACACGAGCCTTTCCATCGCGCATGACGTTGCTGTCGCCTTGACTCACCTTATTCTTGCCGTAGGGCCTCGCCGAGCAGTTACACGAGGAGCCGTCGGCATCCTTGTCCAGGCAGAGGATGTCGGCGCGGCAGCGGCAGCCGCGGCTCGGAGTCTGGCCCGGCTGGTGCGAGGCCGCCGCCGAGCCGGACGCCTTGGGGACGTGGGTCTGGATGAGCCCCGCCCTCAGACCGGCCGACCGGCGGCCCGTCGTCCAGCCGCCGCCATCGCCTGTCGAGGGAAGGTCACAGGTCAGTCAGAGAGATGCGGCAGGGCGTGCAGGGTGGCACCTGGGTAAGTTAGTGTGGCATGCAAGGCGGGTATAGCGTACCAACACGCCATATGAGATGAGAAACGGGATTGTGCAAAAATGCGAGACTCTATGTTACCCGTTTTAGTGGATGTTGCTTAGCAAGAGAAACGGATAATTGCGCAGCATTCTCTTCACATAAGTAAATCAAAATGGCGATTTGAACCTGTTTTAGATGTGACTATGCCTGCAGATACACATTTCATTCATGGTAGCTGATACAGTTCATTCAAAATAAGTACATTCAAAAATAAAACGTAGCTCTAGCTTTAACATCCGTGTGCTTCTTGGTTTCACTTCTTGGTAACGTTTGAGGGTCAAGCGTACCATGATCATGCCGTGTACATTAAAGGGACCCTCCCACCTTAACATTAGATTTGAGTTGAGATAGCCAAAATGGGGTCCCTGGCTCACAATAACCGGTTTCGGCACTCACAACATCGAGAAACGCCTTAAATCGGAAATATTGAATTTCAAAATTGCAGCATTTTGATTCAGAGGGGCTAATGCATAGGAATACCCCTCTGAATGTGTGACGTCAGCGCTGATATCTAAAGATTTTTAAATGTTTGACTAAAACGTTTTGTAGCACGCGGTGGTATATGCTGCTTTGCGCGCAACAAATGCCGCACTTTCAAATAAAGTCGCTGGGAACAGTGGAGATCCCAAAAAGTAAACAAAAGCAAAAGTCTAATATCTTGAAAACCGGTGAATATTTTTCGATGAAATTTGGTAGATAATCGTTTTTGCTCTTTCTGAACCGAGCGACATCACTTTCATGCCAATTCATTAACTTTTTTGAAGGTGGGAGGGTCCCTTTAAATCGGCACACTTATGTCTACAGAAATGTTTGTGAAATTGGGCGAGATAATCAGATTTCATCCGCCAGGTTTGAATGAAAGGAGAAGATCGCCAAACTCATATTCAGCGCCTCACATTATGTTCGCTTTCAGTACTTGGAAATTAGAAATACCTGCAGAATCACGAGAATCAGATTTACCTGTTTCTAATTCAACTGCATAAGATTATGCTTTATTTGGTCCTCGCCCCTCAAGGGCATGGTTAAACGGTGCAGTATGGGTGACATGTTCAGCCCGAATCAATAATCTGTCGTGTTCGGACCAATAAGTGGATCTGGAAATACGGTGACGGTTATCGGGGTGCCAGGCCCTGTTCGGTATCGAATTATCCGTAATAGTGCACTGTATTCGGCTGTCGTACCGCACCCAGCGCCCTGTTGTCGTACAGTGTAACGATGTTTGCGGCTGCTGTGTGACGGCTGCCCTATGACGGTAAGGCACTGAAAGAATGCCGTACCGTCCGGGACACGTAGGACACTGGAAGAGTGCCGTGCCGTTCACTGCGTACGGTGCCGTAGTGTCGTACCGTCTGAGCCACGTGCCGTACCGTCCGAGCTCCTCCGTGCCGTACCGTCCTCAGCCGCGGCCGGCGCGGCCGGCGGTCTCTCCTCTCGGCCTATCGTGCCGCCCCGCCTTAGGCCGCTGACGGCAGATCCGCCACGCAGTGTCGTGGCACCCGCACATCCATCGCATCGGTCATCAATCGCATTTCGCAGCGCCGAACCGAATACCGCCCCGCAACACAGATAACCGGCGCCTGAATAATTTATCGCCATTAATGGGGGTTAATTATACATTGAAGGCCTGTCTGGCCGGCGCTCGGCTAAAATAGGAGCCGTACCGGCCGCGGGGTCGGCGGGGTTCATTCCAGACCCAGCTGTGAAAGCGCCGCCGGCGCGGTCCGTATGGTCCTGCGCGACTCCCCGCGGCCCGCGGCGGCGGCCGCTGCAAATTCCACCGCCGCCCCGCACCAATCGGGGAGTGAACGGGGCCCTCAGCCCAGGATGAGCTGCGCCAGAGCAGAGTCACTACGACTGGGATATAGAATGGCCTGAACGATGGCATATATTTTGTATGAGTGTAGATGGTAGACTCTTATAAAATACATAGGTATATGCAGAACGTTAAGCAGAGACCCGAGCTTTGGGCTAATTAGGTAGGCACTGAGATTCCCAGCTAGTCAGTCCAATACAGAAACGAGTCCCTATAAGGACGACATGCTGAGCTAATAGGCCTGTATTTATTCATTGACATCAAGCAGAGGTGAATGAACGTGTGTGTTTTGAGCGTGTGAACAATCGAATTCCACATCAAATGTAGGACATAGCTCGCATATTTGTCTCAACTATTATCTTTTCGTGACTCCTGCACATTTTGATCCATTTAATTTTCCAGACATGGTTCGATGCCTTCTGGCTGCCTGCACCCAGGAGTGTGATAAGGGGTGCTCCTCTCCCCTCACCGTCTCCCCGATGCAGCCCTGCTGCAGCAGGTACGCGGTGGCCGGCCGGTGGACCCACTGCCCTGCTGCCGTGGTCCAATGGCGTGGGAACGGCCAAGTGCGTCATCAAGTGACGCCACACCTCCTGATATTCTGACGTCACACCTCCGCAGTTGTGTGGCGTGCCCAGTTTAATGCCGAATGGCGTCCATAAAACGCGGCATTCAGTGCGGTATCACAGCATACCGGCGGCCGCCGCCCGGCCCCAGCGAGATTACTGGGCAGCGCGGTCGCGTGACCTATCCAGACAGGGAAAAGGATGGATCGTTTTCGAAAAGCGTCGGCTCCGTCTGAGGCCGCGGTCGGCGGCTGGTGGCCGCTAAGGAGCGCCGGTTGGCCGCAGTTTCCCGGACAAGCCGCGCTTACAACTGGAGCAGCACGGGGACGACACCGAGGGTTGTTCGCGGCGGCACTGGTGGCTGTCGCGACGTGCATGTGAGCTGTTTTGGAACAGTATGTCGTGTTTTATTTGGAGCGAGGATACAAAACGATCAGGGTGAAACTTTTGGCTATTAAGGACATCAATGCTCAATTTCAAATTACTTGGTTGGTTGGATGTTCAAGACGATGCTGTTGGATGCTTCAGACAATATTTTTTCGCGACGATTGATTCCTAAGTAGGCGATATTACTGACTGCTCGAGGCGAAAGCTATCTGTTCGGAACAGTTCCACTATGACACACCTGGAAAACACGATTGTGTCTCTCTGGAATGGCAGAGACTCAATTGTCTTCATAAAGGAGAAAGTAGGCAAGGTGGGAATCTTATCATAAGCCATGCGAGGAACAATTGGTTTAACCACCACCTCCACACATTCAATTGATCCCAAGGGTTTTACGTCTTACCGTAGTGCGACACGAAGACGGATGAGAAACATCAATCCTCGTTTAGACCTCTAAGCTCATAGAAAGCTGCATTGCCACTTCATGAAATCATACATAAGCTAACAAATTTGCCTAAGTCCCTTCTTGGCTCACTGATATTTGGCTGAGGCTCGTCGACATTTTAAGATTTTGCTCTTCCATTCATATATTATACCCATCGACCCAATGGAAGCGATACGCAGAATGTTTTTCATCCATCAGCGAGCGCAGTATGTAGTTCGCATTCTTCGCGGCTCGTTGGCTTCATCACCGTCTGCTGTTCAATCAAACGTAAACAATGGGAGCGCTCCTAAATAGGATCCATTTGTTACGGAGCGTAAATAGTGCATCCGTTTTCCCGATCAGGCCAGCGTGAGCGATGGATCGTGGGTGCCCCGGGACACCTGCCCCCTCAAATTGTTAATTTGGCTGCGAGATCAGATGAGGCGATCTGTTCCGTCGTTACCAAACGACCTGATGCATCATGTCTTGACATCAGCCCAGATTGGTGCAGTCTGGAGTGGTCTGGCAGTTTCACACGACATGGTAAGGTATTGGCAGACAAACAAACGCACGTCTTGTATCGGCAGGCGAGTGACTTATTACTCGCTGAAAACTACCGGTACCGGCGCAATGGGTATCCATTTGGCGATGTCCATCATTTTTTATATCATTTAGGGTTCCATTGCACATGAATTCTAATAGTTCAGTAGACAAGGCTGTCAAGTGGCAAGTCAATGAATAAGTACCTCACCACTGACCAATCGTACCATAGCCGACATAGCGTAAAAGAGTGAATTACTTTACTTTCCATTTAGACAGGCTGGTTACGTGAACAATACCAGCAGCACCATCGAGCTGCTAACAATGGAAACAATTGCAAGGTGGGCACTGGGCATAACGATCCTCCACTCACGAAGAAGACTTTGAGGTAGGCTAAAAATATTTTTAAGTCACATAAAATGCTTAGCTCAATTGTAGCTGATTTACATCGACATTGAATATCCACTTTTGTGAGCTAAATGTGTGTTATGTTTTTTATAATATCGTTAAGAGTTAAACACCGTATCCCGTATCAGTGTTACGGCGGACTAGGTGTATTTAATTGTGAACCAATTATAGTGATGCTGATTCAATCCTCGCTCTAACATTGGGGTAAAAATGGTAACCCGTCTTACGGGGCACGGGCTTATGTAAACAGGAATGCAGGAACTATGACGAGGCTGGTAAAGACGAGCATTTATCGAGAAGATAAATTGATGAGTCTTCTGCCGGGTTCAACAAGTACTTGCCGGGCAAGATCTGCTATATACGCATTATACACTATGCATCTGCTACCGTGCCAGTCTGACACTGTAAATTATGATTTTAGGAAGGATGCAACAAACAAGCTTTATTCCTGCCTCCAAGCTCCAGTGGCGTCAGACACAGTGCTGGAATAGCAGGCATCCGGTAACTACTATAGAAGCTTACGAAGGCATATCGCAGACCTCAGGTAACATATGCCATGAATTTTTGGCTCGGTCATAATTTGCATCCGCTTTGTGATTCCACTCTGGTCTAGTTAAAATTACATGTAGCCTGTCCGCGGCCACAGATAGCACTGCCTGGCGACATTGATCAACATTCGCAGGTGGTGCTGCTGACAGTTCCATCAAAGGACGTTCACGCTCGGCACTCGGCTGTGGTCCGTCACAGTCAGAGAGGAGCACTCACACAGGTGAGACGGGGAGCCGCAGCCCCGTCCCACCGCCACGAGCCGAGGACAGCTGGCGGACAGTCCTCAGCAGCAGGTGAATCAACCAGCCCAAACGAGCCGGCGGCCCACGTGCCATATGGAATTATCCTTATCTGTTCGTAAAAGGAATCCGGCTTGACATTTACCGCTGTGTAAGCCATTGTAAAATAAGTAATCTTAAATAATGAAATATTCATAAAAACCGGCTAGTCGTGTTTTTCAGCCAGGATATGCGAGCCGAGACGATGTTGTGCAGCGATGGTACGCAGACTTCTGGAAAGACTTATCGCGGGATAATAAAATGGCAGTTATAGCTGCAGTAATCTGCGGAAGGGGATGGGCGTAATGACTCCCTCAGACCAGGTGCTATCCCTCTCTGAGTGATGTACGTAAAAAAACGCCAATGATTTTCGTCAATAATTTGATATTGTCAAATATGTCAAATGTGTCAAATATTCTAAAATTATCCAAAATTGCATTACTGACATAGGAGAGATACACCAACAGTCTAGACGGTTTCCCTACTTCTGGATCTAGGTATCTATACCATAATTCAATATTCATTGAAGGCGTCGCAGCTGTAAATTTAGCTTCAGGGTATATCGGGCCTGACGCATCGAACGGGATGAGATAAAGTTGAACCCACTCATTGAAACTTAGCAGGAAGGTATCCGTTAATGATGCCTACATGATTAACATGTTAGCGGTTATGCGACTCGTTTGCTATTGCACCTTGCAAGCGGAACTGTGACGCTATGAATGTTATGAGTTTTGTTACCCAGAAATGTGGCCATTGCAACTGCTTCGAATTTTTTACCATGTAGCGGTTTACATAGCCTTGCACGTGGCATAGGCACAAATGAAGGGACACTTACGTGTTACAGGCGTCTTTTTTCTTGTATGCAGAATACAAAATGACAAATTTTAGTTGAACAAATTTGAAGTCTAGTGCTACCAAGCTCATAATGGGAAGGGACGAGCTGCCCGTAGTCTCCCTGAAGTATCTTTACGGGTGCTGAAGTGCCCGTCTCTCTACTAAAGACTTTGGTCCCGGGTCACCGGTCGGGAAGAGAGGAGAGCTGTTCTTTAGGCTTTGCGCAGTGCGCACCAAATTACGAAATGCAATGACACCAATACTGGGGCGCGAGCGCATGCTGTCGGGTTTTTCCCTACAGCAGCGCTAAGATAAGATGTTGAAAATGTTGCATTCATTTTGGCGTAAGCCCTAAATGCTGAAAGGCAACGCTTATGAGCACTGATAATCTGGATATATCCCGGAAAACACGACCGGTCGTAACACACTCATTGAACCGGTAGCGATCTCTCAATGTCTGGATCGGGTCTTAAATTGTCCTGTCGTGCCGGGCGCCACTGAAATCTCAGTGTATCTCCTGTTGTGTGGTGTGCCGGGAGCGAGGAGCCGCGCGCCGCCGGCTGTGCAGTAAAACCAGTCGGTGCGGGCCGGGACCGGGCCACGTGCGGCTGCCGAGACGGTCGGCCTCCACTCACCGGTGCTCTCCTGCAGGCTGAGCGCCGCTCGGTGCGGCACAGTTCCGTGTCGGCGCACACAAACACACACACACTGGGGGCGGCGCGGCGGCTGGGCGGCACTGGTGGCGCGGCGCGGCGCGGCCGGCGCGGGCTACAGAGGACGACTGTGCGCACCGCGCGCCGCCGCGCCGCCGCCGAGCCGCCGCGCTGCCGGCCGGCGGCCGTGGAGCCACATACCGACCGCGTCAGCCGAGGGCGCCGGCCAAGGCTGCTGCCGGTCGGTCGGAGCTGCCGCCGCTGAGGTCCAGCCCGCCCCGGACGGTCCGACGGCGCCGGCTCTGACCTGGCGTGACACGCACTTCTCTGCAGCACCTCCTCTCTACCCTCCGCCCTCCCTGTGCTCTGTCCTCCCTCTCTGCTCCATCAACTCTGCCCTTTTTTGAACCATGCCTTCCCCTGCTTCATTGTGACTTTTGTCACTCATTTTCCTTCTGTCCGTCCTTCTCTTTACCCTTCCCCAATCTCGTCCCCCTAATCTCGTTTCTACCCTTGCTCCATTTAGCTCTTATTTTTAATTTGTCCCGGCCTGCTTACATCCTTCTAATATGCATTCGATACATTAGTGCATCTGTTAATTATCCGCTATAACTTTTTATGGTAAGTGGTGTTTGAAGTGGAACAGTTTATTTGCTTATCATGTTTATCATGCATACCTACATGTAGCGAATGCTGGTTTATATTCAACTGACTTTCAGCATATATAGGTACTCCTTTAGAACGAGCTAATTTTAGCTTGATAAATTGCAGGTCAATGGTAAATGGCTCAAACTTCTTATAATTTATGTATTACTCTCTCTCTCTCTCTCTCTCTCTCTCTCTCTCTCTCTCTCTCTCTCTCTCTCTCTCTCTCTCTCTCTCTCTCTCTCTCTCTCTCTCTCTCTCTCTCTCTCTCTCTCTCTCTCTTTCTCTCTCTCTCTTTTTCTCTCTCTCTCTCTCTCTCTCTCTCTCTCTCTCTCTCTCTCTCTCTCTCTCTCTCTCTCTCTCTCTCTTTCTCCCTCATAATCTTTCTTGAACATATCGGGCTGATAAAAATGTCATATGTTGCACCGTCAGACCTCATAATGCACCAGAATCAGGGCAAACCTCCAGGATCCTGCAGACAAACAGAAAAGCCAAAGAATTTCTAAAGATCAAAACCAAAAATTTCCACCATAAAGAACACATTCCAACAACAAAACACGCTTTAATCGTCCCACTGTGCGCCTAGTTTTAAGTTCGGACTCCCAAATCACCTTATAAGACACATTCTTCCGATAGAACACACTCCTCCCACTGATCTCTAAATGCAGCTCTCACCACTAGACGTCCCAGCGACCGCCCTGTCTCTGTGAATTGTGGAACAGTCCATCCATTCTCGGCGGAACCTCGTAAAATTGGTAAACATAGCGAGGTGTCACACCGGGCGACCCGCGCGCCGCACCGGTCGGCTGCGTTGCGCCACAGGCTCGAAGAGGAGGCATTGTTTGTGGGGGTTGTGTAATGATGCGGTTCGGTGATACCACCAGACAGTCGCGCCGCCCAACCCTGACGCAAACTGGGCTCACTTTCTTCTCTTCCCTCTCTGTTTTGGTATTTTAACAATGGCTGTGTGGCTACTTGGGTCGTTTTACTTCACCCAGCAGCCGACTGTTTTAAATAGTAAAAAGTTTATTTGTGAGTGTGCGAGCCTCCAGCAACTCCCGGAAGTTAGCAGTTGGGCACGTTTTGCCGTTGATCGGGACTCACCTGTAGATAGAGGGTCCGCAGATGACGCCACCGAGGAGCCGGCGCCCGTGGCCGGTCTCTTTCGCAGCGAATTTGACTGGAAATTCATCTGCAAAGAAGAGAACAGTGGTGTTAATATGCGTGGAGTGGGTCGTGGTAGCATGCATATTAGGGTGGCACTTAGCAATAGGGTGAATTTTATGTTTTCCGATTTTTAGGCGTGCGGGTAGTTTTCTGGTTCCATTCCCGTAAAAAATAATATGTGCAAAATGATTTTGAAAAATATTGATATTTAGGGGTCGCGAATTGAGGTCAAAGTTGACATTTTTGGGGGAAAAATCAACTTTTTGGAAACTGCTTTAAACCTATTTGGAATGACATATGTGGTCATTAAGCGTCATTTCCGACGTATTTTGACCTTTATTTGTATAACAATTGTTTATCCCATCACTTCCGGCCGATCGTAGCCACTCCAGGTCAGGCCAAGACAGGTCTGATCTGGGCTGTTTTACCCATGTCAGGCCTGTTTTGGCCTGCGACCGGTGCCTTCTCACAGTGGAGGTCATATCCTCCATATATCCTCTGATTATCCATCATATATATCCTCTGATTAGTGTGAGGAGTGACCGGTCTCCCTTGTTCCAAAGGGAGGACGAGCCCCACGGTTCTATCGGTTCTTGAGACATGCTCCTTTTCTGTCGAAGAGAATGTGAAGAAGTTGGAGTCAGCCTATCGTCGGCGGGCGAAAGCAGAGGCGAGAGTGTGCATTGAGCTTCACTGGTTTATTGTGCTTTCGGGATGTTCTTCCGTGGGCGCTTCTTCCGACTCTAGTGTCAGTGCCAGCAACAGACTTACCCGGCCGTTGCGGCGCACACACGAAGGGAACGTCTTTGACGATGGCTACCATGAGAGAGAAACGTCGACGCACACTCCCAAGCGCATGCGGGCGAGCGGACGTCTCTAACAGTGAACTGGCCTCGACCGGGCCAAACTGCCCAACCGTAATGTGTGAAGAACACGTGAGCCTGTTATCAACTGCGGCATGGAACTTCTGATACGACTCCGGCTGAACCGCGAATCCTGAACCGCGAGAGAAGGAGCGTCGACCGATTCTAGGTCCTGGTGATGGGGGGGGGGGGGGAGGGATTGGGGTGGCCAAGCTCCTCGCCGTTCCCAACCTCCCCTCCATCCAAGCACAGGAGGCCATGCTCACAGCGCTGGGGGGCTAGGAACTGGAGAAGCAGAACTGCGGCCTTTTGCTTCGACGCCACGACGGCGAACAGCATGCTGGTGAACGGTACTTTAGCCCTTATCGAGCAGAAGCTGGATCGGCCCGTCTTTCAGCTGGCCTGCCGGCACCACGTGTAAGAGCTGGGCCTAGAGAAGGCCTTCTCCACCTGCCCTAGAATCTCGAGCGGCCTCTACATCCGGCTGTTTAAGAGGTTCAAAGGCGGGTGGGAGTTCATACTTCATTGACAGGATCACACCGGTGGCGTTCGCCGTCGACGACGTTCCGGAGTGGGACGACCTGTTGCTCAGCTTCCATCGCTTCCATCGCTGGACTATGCCTAGCTCCGGGAAGACTACCGAAAACTTCTGAAGCTCTGCGTAATTGCTCTCGGTGGAGTTCCAAGCACGGCATCCGTTTCTCCGCCTCAGAGTACTCCACTGAGTTAGGTGGATGGCAAAGACCATCTGCACTATGGATGCCTTCCTCTTCAGGGAGCGGCTCCGGCTGACGGCGGCCGAGGCCCAGGTCATCAAACGCTGTGCGCTGTCCGTTGCCTGCAAGTTTGCCGCCGCCGCCGCCGCCTGGTTTGGGACTATATTGCCATTGCGCCGGCTCTGGACCTGACCTTCGTGAACTCGTTCTGCACCTACCCCGACAAGGAGCTGTCGAAGGCGACAGTCCCGGTCTTCGGCCGTCACCTGTAGTACTTGAGTGATCGGCTGCCTGGTGACTCTGGAGCTTTTAGACCCCGACCCTCGGGCTCAATCAAGACATGGTGCGGGCAATAGACTTGTAGGAGAGGGAGGACCCTCCCCATAAGTCCTTAGTGGACACTGAACGCCGCTCTCGCGACCGAGACCTTGGTGAGCTTCCTCACATCGTCGTTCAAAAAGCTATCAAGGATCCACGACCTGGACGCGGGGCTCATCATCAATGACCAAGGCCACTGGGAGGACAGCAGCTACCAAACCGCAGCTCGTGTAGTCCGGGAGCTGCGGTTGGTGAATGACTTTACCAGACGCGGCATGGCGCTGATGTAGGACTAGCACTCATGAAAGACAAAGATTAGCGTCAGTTCTTCCTCCATGCCGTTGAAAAGATCACAGAAAACGCTAACCTGACACCCGAAGATCGACTGCAATTGCTAACCAGGCTACAAACAAAGTGATCTGGGTGCCCGTTGCCCATGATACCCCTCCCTCCAATGAGGCGCCAATAATCTACTAGAGAGGAGGAACTTGAGTAGTGGAGTACATAGACCAGCGTTCTGGTGTGACCGAAGCTGCATGAAATATCAAAAAACAATATGAAAATGACTAGGAAATGCCTCATTATCATCCGATTACAGCGTAATAGGAAAGTCAGAAACGATTCTAATGATATTGAAATCTGCCACCAAAATTCGAATTTTGACCTTGATTCGCGACCTCTAAACATCAATATTTTCCCATAAAAATTTGCCTCCCTTATTTTTTACGGGAAAGGAACTGGAAAACCACCCGCACGCATTTAAAATCAAAAATTGATTTTTAAGTGCCACCCTAATGCATATCAGATGAAGAAAAACAAACAGCTCACTGAACAAGTTCCTACAACTAACGTTTAAAAAATTAGCGCTCAAATAACTCGGGCACAACTTCCGCGCTCTCTTTTGAGCTATTGGAAACAGGGTAGTGAACTGCATCTCGAGTCATATCATTATATGACATCACTGAGGTCATTTGTTTATTTGTTTATTTATTGGCATAGCGTCCACAGGCAAAGCCCCACTTACGGATGCCGTCGCACACTGACAATAACAACCACTCACACACACTGGATGGAAATAAATATGAATGATAACACTGATCAAAATCCAAATAAATTAACAAGATGGCAAGAGCCTAAAAGTAAACCGACAGGCAACAGCCTAAGAATATAGAAGACATGAGCAAAAGCCTAAGAGAATATACAAGTATAGGCACCTGGCTAATGAGCGAGGCTAAAAGTACATATACTGACATATATAGTACATATATACATATATATACTGACATATAAAAGTACATATATACTGACATGAGAAATCCCCTAAAAGTTAACAGCACAGGCAATAGCCTGAAATCTTAAAAAAGTGTAGGTATAAGCAAGAATGACAGTGGATGAAATAAAAAGACAAAAAAGACGAAAAATGAGCGTAGACAATGACAATGAGAATAAAACCGGTAACGGCTAGTTGCTACATGAGGAGCTACATCAGTGACCTTAGGCTAAGTATGTTCCCTGGTCGTCAGCAAATTTGGCTATCTCCGACCTTAGCCTGCAGCTAGGCATAAAGAAATCAGCGTCGGGGCTGCTGTGGACAAGCGAGTTCACGTGCTGGGGAAGACGAATCAGAAATCCTCGCTTCACAGTGTCCACTCTTCCGCGCGGCACATGAAAGAGCTCGGGACGGCGCGTGCGACGGCCGGGTGCCGATAGAGAAAACATGGCCAAGATGTCGGGACAGTCCAAGCGACCACTGAACACGGAGCGCATGTAGTTGATGTCACACTGTGTGAATCGTGACCTCACTGATTCGCAGCCGAACAGTTTAAGCAGCGATGCATAGTCGAGTGAAGGGCACCTCGCCTGTGTCCCAGGTCATAAGAACTTTCACCAATAACTCAGCGGATCAAATTTATATGAAGAATCGCGACAGACAGCTAGGAGCTCAGCATAAAATGTTGCTTAGAAAATATGGGATACGATATTTCCAGGCAGCTCTTTAACCCGCGCCCCACTGGGGTCTGCGTATAACACGCCCTACTGGGGGGGCTATTCATAGCCCCCCCCCCCCTCCTAACTCCGAAACTACTGGGCCGATCGTCAAAATTCAAACGGCGTCTGATAGCCCCGGAAAAACTGTCGAGCGAAACCTAATTTCATTGACCTCGAGGTCA